TCTAAAAGCCACGTCTGGAAGGCTTGGGGGAGAGACACTGTGTGACCACTGCTACCTCTGACCTATGCTGTGGCCTGCTTCTGAGCAGCCAGTGGAAAAATTCCTCCTGGTCTCCAGCCAGGATTTTTCATGCTTTCCATGCCGATGCATTCATGTGGTTTCTCTGCCTTGTCAGGGGCATGTCACCGCATGCTAAGATGCAAGTTCCAGCTTCTCTAATGTTTTCACTTGTGATTTAAACCTTCTCTGTGGTACAGTCCAGTGATTAAGAGACAGGATGTGGAGCCAGGCTACCTGCACATAAATCCTGGTTCTGGGTACCTTTGGGTGAACTACTTAAACTCTTTGAGCCTCATCTAGAAAATGGGGGACACTACTAGTATCCTCTCATAGGATTATTATATGGAAAAAATTTGAGTTAATATGTGGAAAATGCTTAGAAAAATGCGTGGCATGTAGTAAGACTTACATAAATATTTTTTAAAACCCTAAACCTGAAAGCCAAGCTTGGGGCTCTTAGGATCTGTGGTGTGTCTTCTGACTCACAAGGGAAAATGCATACCAAGCCCTTATGTCCATTTCCTAGCATATGTTTGGTATTTTTCCTTTGATGAATCTATAAATGAGGGAGTGTCAACAAAAATTAGGAAGGAGAAACAAGGTATTTTGCTAAGCAGATGGGGGACCTGTCCCTAGTCTCTTGGAAAGAGATCAAATGTCAGGCTGGTGGGTGATATGGCCTGTTTTAGGACCAGACCACTGGTTCTTCACCTGGAGCCACTTGGGAGCCTAAAAAGCCTCTGGATGCCTGGCCCTCCCCATTCTTGAGAATCTGATTTAATTGATCTAAGGTGTGGTGCAGGCATCTGGAATTTTGAGAGGTTTTTTTTTTTTTTTTGCAGATTTTTCCCCCCAGGGATTCTCATTTTCAGCTAAGGCTGAGAACTGCCAGCCCAGATAGCTCATGTAAAACACCAAGAGCCAGAGAAGCACAGCTGGAGGAAATCTCTCTCTTCCCTATCTCCTTTGTACCAAAAATTAATTTTGAGAAGTTTCCAAAATCATTTCTCTGAGATTTTTGAGATTTTAAGAAATCAGGGAAAAGAGAAACTGCTGGGGGTGGGGGGAGGGGGCTCTGAGAAGGTGGCATTTGAGCTGACTTTTGTACAATAGGAGCACCCCCTCCATGCCTGGATGGCTCAGCGGTTGAGCACCTGCCTTCGGCTCAGGGTGCGATCCCAGAGTCCCGGGATCGAGTCCCACATCGGGCTCCTTCCATGGAGCCTGCTTCTCCCTCTGCCTATGTCTCTGCCCCTCTCTCTGTGTCTCTCATGAATAAATAAATAAAATCTTTTTTTTTTTTTTTAAAGGAGCACCCCCTCCAACCTGGGTGAAGATGCAGGGAAGCACATTCCTGGTAGAGGGAACAGCAAACGCAAAGGCCTCAGGGCAGGAGGATGAGGGTGAGTGGGGCTGCAGGGTGGTGGGTGCCCTGGAGTGTGATATGAGCTGAGTTTGAGAGGAGGCCAGGGGCCAGAACACATGGGCTCAGAGGCCCCTGTAAAAGCTGGAGATTTTTTTTTTTTTTTAAGCTGGAGATTTTGTTCTGTCTCAAGAACCCATGAGAGAAAAAAAAAAAAAAAAAAAAAAAAAAGAACCCATGAGAGAGTTTTAAGCAGTGAAAAGATGTGATGTCATTGATATTTTTATAAGATCACCCTGGCTTCCAAGGCCACCTAGGAAGGAGAAAGCCAGAGAGAAGGCCACTCCTTCTCAAATGATAATATAGCTGGATAATCCACACAACCATATCTTCTCTGAGCCCATCTGTGAGCTAAAGTTGCAGGGCAACCGACTAGCCTGGAGTCTAAGGAAGGCAGGTGCCTCCAAGGAGAGAAGGGACATGAACAGTGGCCACCTGTGGCCAGGTGCAAGGAAGAAGGCAAAGCTGCCATGAAAATGGGCAAGAGCAAGTCCTCCCATGATTTGAAGGCTTGCATGAGAGCACAGAACTTCTGGGAAAGTCAAACAAGTGGAGTTGATACCCACTTGCAGGTGCTTCTCCATAGACTTCCACTGGACCTCATAAAAACCAGGCACCAGGCAGGGACCACAGGAAGCCTCCATCAGAGGAGCAGGTGTGGGGCCCTGGCTGCTGGAAGTATTCACAGCCCTCCAGACTCTTCTTTCCCAACAAACCAAAGCTGGGGAAGGGGCTGTGAACTCAGGATACAGATGATATACCCACTGTGGGCAGTAGGAAGGCAAATACCCTCTACTCCATCTAGGGGCAGGAAACTGTCCATTCCCAGGGAGGGAAGCATCACGGGAAAAGGCTCAGCCCCTCAGCCCAGGAACATGGCCTGCCTGACACCAGGATGGAAGGTGGCTCCGCCACCTGTCAGGTGGGCCAGCACCAAGTGATGTAATGGTAGACTTACCACCTACAGAGAGCAAAGAATGGAGAAATAGCCTCTTTAGGCAGTGGCACACAGGGAAGGTGTAAAGCCGAGTTCATAGCAGGAATATCACCAGCCCAGCCACCCCCTGCCACCAAGAACATGGTAACACCGGGGCACTTTGCAGCTAGCAAGGCACGAAAGGTGACTGTAACAACAAAACCCAAACCCAGCTCAGCTCCTAGCTTGGCTGACTTGACTGCTCACACTGACAGCCTGGCAGGAGAAGAGGTGTGTCCGTTTGCAGGCATCCCTACCTCTTCCTTCTGTCTGACTGCTGCCCCACACAGATCCGGCATTCCTTAAAGAAATACAAGACACACAAGTGAGCAAGTGAAAACAATGCACTGCTGAGAGACAAATCACTCCACAGAGCCAGGGTCAGAAGTGATCTGGACGTTGAAGCTATTAGGCAGGGATTTGTAATAGGGTGGGCTTGGCAAGTATGGCCTGAGGTTCGAATCTGACCTGCCTCCTGTTTCTAGAAGTAGTTTTATGCAACACAGCCATCCTTGCTTGCTCGATGCTGTCTATGACTGAATGGGCCCTACAGTGGCAGGGCTGAGTAACCGTCTGGCAGCCGTAGCAGGAACCGAATGGTCCTGAAGCCCAAGATACTCACTTTCTGATCCTTTTCAGCAAAGCTTGCTGAGCCCTGGGCTGGGGGACAGGGAGGTGACAGAGAGGCCAGGGAACGCTGGTGTACTCACCCAGGGGAGCAGTGACAGGAGCCTGGCTCCAAGCCTATGACAAGTGGCAGGAGTCAGAATAGATGCTTCAGATAGAACCAACAGAATTTTATCCAGAGCATGTATAAAATGGACAGTATTTAGAGTTTCAGATTTACTGTCTACCAACGAGATCCCTGTATTAAAACACATATGTGCAAGCATGTGCGCACACGTACACACACACACACACACACACCAAAGAGCAATCAAACGACTGACAAAAACCAAGATAAGTTTGGTCTGATGGCTGCCAGGATCGGACACTCAGCACCTTACGTTTTCAGCAGCCCTGACTTCCCCCCACAGTACCAGAAACATCCCCTAGAGTCTCTGGGTTTGGATGGGTAGAGCTGGAAAACTTGAGAAGAGGTAGAAAGCCGCACACCTTCCAAGGGAGCCTTCCCGCCTAAGCGGCACCTGTGAGGTTCCCAAATGTGCCATTATCTTGTCACCACACTGGGACATCTACATCAGCTACAGGGCTTTAGTGTCAATCCTGTAATAGGATCAGCTACTGGCAAGGACATGGCTGTAGGAAACACTGCAGCCAGGGTGTCACCACTTGCCTTGCGGGGGCTGGCTGTGCCACAGACACGTGTCTTGGGCAGACACTTTTTAGAAGCCAACTTGCTTGTCATAAAGATGAAGCAGAGGTGGGCTTGGGCAGGGCCTGTGTTATGGGCTGAATGATGTCGTCACCCCCCCCCCCCCAGTTCATGTGTTGAAGCCCTAACCCTCAGTTCCCCAGAATGTGACCTTATTTGGATACAGAATCTTTACAGAGGTGATCAAGTTAAATGAGGGGTGGGGGTGGGCCCTAATCCCATATGACTGGTGTCCTTGTACAAAGGATAGAATTTGACTCCAGACACAGAGAGGAAGATGCAGGCCAAGCACAGTGGCCCTGAACAGATGGTTCCCTTCCGGCCCTCAGAAGGAAGCGGCTCCTGCTGGCACCTTGATTCCAGATGGCACACCTGGAGAAGTGGGGGACAGAGACTTTTGCCTTTAGACCACCCAGTGTGTGCTACTTTGTTACAGCCGCCTCAGGAAGCCGAGACAGCCTGTTAGCCTTTGGAGGGTGGATAGATGGAGCATCAGGCACCCTGTCTACACCTCCCAAAGTGTGTTATGTGAACCTCTGGTGCACGTAGCTGTGCAAGGTAATGTTGGGCGGCATAGGATGAATCATTTTAATTTACATAATTGTGTATTTCTCTTACTGTGTAAATGCTTCTAAGAATCATTATGCATTTTCAGTGCCACTGAAATACAGATTTCAATGCTACTACAAATAAAAAATATAGGTAACATCGAAAATGTGTGGATGCTCAGATATTCTTAGTGTTATCACTCATAAAATTCAACATGAGGTTAAAGTAGGGCTAGAAGAAAAGGGGAGTTAATATAAAGAATATTAAGCCATGAGACGTGCAGGTTGGTAGCTAGGTGAGGCCAAAGGTGCGTGCAAATGAGAAGGCTCCTGGGGAGGGGGGCAGACAAAGAGCCTCGGGCTCTCAGAGCAGCTTGGCGCCCTGGGCTCAGCCTGCACCTTCCTGTCCACCCCTAGCCCACTACACACACACACACACACACACACACACACACACACACACATACACACACGTTGCACCATGCTTCACCATGCCTAAGGAGCCACAGTGGGGACTTTGTTTTAGAAAAGAAATGCAGGTGTGCCCAGCCCTCCTGTAGGAGGCACACTGGCTTCGCTCCATCCTTTGGCTTTCCCTCTTAAATGAAAGCGCACAGCAGAGTCCCGTGTGTGCCCGCTGCCTCCCACGGGCACCGGTCACCGAGCTCGGCGGGTCCTGAGCCTGGTGGGGATGGTCAACTCGCAGGTCTTCGGAAACCAGGCGGCTTCGCTGCGGTGGAGCCTTGAGCCCAGGGAGGCGAGCGGGAGAGGTGGGACCTCCAGAGTCACCGCAGGGGAGACACGACTGAAAGCAGGGATAGGGAGGAGTGGGCAGCCCGAGAAGGTTTTATTTCTAAGGAAGGGCTCCTGGGGGCTGTGTCCGGCAGGCAAGGATGACTTCACTGCAGGTATGCAGGGGTGGTGACCTGCAGTGGACACGTGGGATAAAGACGGTGACCGACCTGTTCCCTGCCTCCCTCGCATCTCTCTTCCCTCCCCTGTCTCACCCTCCCTCCTCCACCCTCCCCACCTCTCCCCCTCCCTCCTCACCTCTCCCCCTCCTCATCTCTCCCCCTCCCTCCCCACCTCTCCCCTCCCTCCCCCCTCCCCCTCCCCCCCAGCCGTCCCCCAGGCTCACCCTGCCCCCCGTCGTCAGGCAGCGGGGCCTCCCTCCTGGGCGGGGGCGCACAGGACCTCGAGGCCGCGGTCCGGGGCGCGCGCGCAGGGCCGAGCGGGGGCGCCGAGGCCGAGGAGCCCGCGCCGCCCCGAGGGCGCCGTGTCGGGGGTCCCGGGCGCGCCCGCGCTCTCCTGGGTGGGCTGCCTGCGCTCCGGGAAGCAGAAGCTGCACGTCTCCACCGGCTCTGGCGGCGGCGCGCCCGTGGCGCTGCCCGCTTCCATCCAGTGATCTGCGGGAAGGGCGGAGGGCGATGGCGTTGGCCTTGGCGCCCGCCCGTCCTCGAGCGCCCTGCCCCGAGGGACCCGCGGCCAGTTGGTGGGCTTCCCGCGGTCGGCAGATGCCGGCTCGCCCACTCCCCAGCGCCTGCTGCCTTTCTGCTGGGAAGGAACAGGTTCCGCCCCTTGGCCGACCACCCCCTGGCCCCCCAGGGGGACCACCTCCTCCAGGTTTCAGCCCCGGAAGCCCTGCGCGGGGCCAAGCCCGCGGCCGGCAGCCCACACCCACCCTTCCTCAGGTCTTGATGTCGAACTGATCTCACCGAGACAGAAAAAGTACTGCAGGGATGTGCCCCAGGCCTTTGTCAGGGAGGGCTGGCAAAATGCTGTCCATTTGGAAGCAGGGCCAGTGCCAGGACAGAAGGCCGACCAGCAGATTGTCCCACAGGCCCTGGGAGTCTGAGGGCCCGATCTGTGCTCACCCTTGGAGGACTTGGCCTGGGACCGGCATGGTGCTGGTGAGGGCTGGCAAGAGAATTGGTCCCCTCTCCTCTTGAGGAAGCAGGCCACCGCCAGGATGAAGCAGCAGATGATGGCACAGAGGCAGAGCCCCAGAGTGCTGTAGACCAGGGCCAACTGTTCGGTGCTCAGCTTCAGCCCTGAGGGGTGCCACAAAGCTCCCATGAGGCACAAGATTGGGAGGGGCTCTTCACCTCCCAGGGCCCTTCTCTGAAGTGTCCCCGCAGGCTAGCAGCCCCTTGTCCTGCAATCTTTCTTTTCCCTCATTGGGCCCAAGCAAGCCACATGGCCGTCCCATCCACCTGCCCCCTTGGAGCAGAGCCCTCAGCCCCAGCATGTTGTCCACCTGTCTGGCTCCTGGAGAAGTTGATTCCCGGCCTCACTCAGGCTTGCCTGGTGTGGACCCTTCTCTAGACTCTGGAGACAATCAGCCCTCTCCACCCCAGGCTGGTAGCAACTTCTGCTAAGAGCTCAGAGCTGGACACCTCTGGAGCTGGCTCTGTGTGCCATCTGCTCTTTCCCATAGGACCTAGATCGGGCCAGTACCAGAGGTGGATGGATAAGTGAAGAGACAATAGTCCTGGGCAGATGACTCTGCCCTAACCTGGGCCTTCCTCCAAGAGGTGGCCTTCCTGGGGAAGCAGACTTCGAGAGTGGGACAGGTCCAGTTGCTAATGAATCTGGGATAGCAAACCAGGAGGGCCCAGGAGAACTGGGGTGCTGGTCACCCCACTTCTCAGGGCCTTGAGCCTCTGGTTTGGATGCCAGAGGAAGACTCAGCTCTGAACCAAAGCCCTCCCCTTGAAATTTTTCCTGGCCCCTGGAATCAGGGCACCCCCTAGGCCCCAGGTGGAAGGACAGATGGGCCAGAGTCAATACATGTATGTAATACACTGATGATGTGGATGACCCCCTGAGCCCTTACTACGTTCAGGCCCTCTGGGGAGTGGCCCCCGTGATTCCCCTGCTCCTGGGAAGGAGGATTGATGACTCCACCTTTGGGTATTGAGATAGAACTCATATGCATCAAATTCTTCATTCTGAGCAACTCAGTGGGTTTTAGTATATTCACAAGGTTCAGTAACCGTCACCACCATCTGATTGGGAGATATTTCCATTACCCGTGAACTCACTGGTAGTCACTCTGAATGTCCCTTGCCCCAGCCCCTGACAGCCCCTAATCTACTGTCTCTGTGATATCTATTCCGGGCATTTCATATGAATGGAATCATACAAGTTGTGTCCTTCTACGTCTGGCTGCTTTCGCTGAGCATGTTTTCAAGGCTGATCCACACTGTCGTGTGTGGCAGGACTGTACTCCTTCCTATGGCTGAATCATGCTCCATTGTATGGTCATAACATGTTTAGCCGTTCATCTGCCGATGGACGTGTGGGTTGTTGTCATGTTTTGCTATTGTGAATAGTGCTGCTGTGAGCATTTGCATGCAAGTTTTCATGCAGACACATGTTTTTAGTTTTCTTGGGTTATACCTAGGAGTGGAATCTCTGGGTCAAATGGTAATTCTCTGTTTAAGTTTTTGGGGAATGTCCAGCAATGGCTGCACCATTTTACATTCCATTTTGCAGGTGACAAAACCGATTCAGAGTCACACTGTTCCTGGTCACAGATGCCACTGGGAGTAGGTCTGATGGGCTCTGGGCCAGTGTTCTGGGCTGGCCACACAGAGGCAACGAGAAGGACACCACTCCCTACACACGTACCTCAGAATCCCGAGTTTTATAAAGTGACAGAACTGGCAGGTGCCACCCTGACATTTACAGAGGGAGAACAGGGGCTCTGGGCAGTGCTGTCCTTTGTGCCCCTTGCCCAGAGCTCAGGAAGGCCATGGGACGGGGGGAAGCAAAGGACCCCCAGCAGGGCACACCCACTATACTCGGGTGCTACAGATCTGGAGACCAAGGCCCTCAGAGGAAAAAGGAAGCAGGGAAGGGTCACAGGGCAGAGGGCAGAGCCAGGAAACCGTTCGCATTTCCCAACTTCCAGGTCTTTCTGTCTGTCTACTGCTCCTACTCGCCTCCGACACAAAATGACAACATCAGATGGCTGAATCCACAGGGGAGAGGCCAGCAGCCTTCATTCACGTCAGAGATGGAATGCCCGGCCGCCAGATTGCTGGGTACAAATGAACTGCCACGTAGATTCAAGGAGAGTCTTAACAGCTGCGTAGTTCAGATGTTCTCAGCACGAATTCTAACACCCAAACCTGGCAGCAAGTATTCCCGGATGGTCCCCAAAGAAACGCCTCCCCATACGTAGCCTCCCTTCAAAATGGCTGGGCTGGGCCTCCCTGCAGCCAGTGGGAGGCAGCAGCTCCCTCTGTGCCCGTCCTGGCCTGAGCCCTCCGAAGGCCTGGCAGCCCTGGCTTCTGCCCAGGGAGAGGTCACGTGGGGAGGAGCGTGGCCGGTCAGCCCAGCCTCCCACTTGGAGCCAAGCCTCCAAGTGACTCCATCCTCCCACCACCTGCCTGCGGCTGCACACAAACCCCGAGTGGACACCAGACCTGCCCAGCTGAGCCCAGGAACCCACAGAACCCTGCAAGATAATGAAGGGGTTATTTGTAGGCCACTAAGTTTTTGGTGGCTTTTGGAGGCTGCAGTAGACAAACAGCTTGGCGATTGTGCTCCGGACAATCCCCACTGCTCTTCACCCCTCTGCCAGAAGCAGCGATCTGCGGCTTCCCGCGGACCTGCTGGTGACTTGTCCCTAGTACATGCTTCAGAGCCCCCAAACGAGGAAGGGAAGCACAGGTTAAAAGTACAGGTGTCCCATCTATCTCACAAGAGCACCTCGTTTGCTGGTAGTGGTAGGGGGAGAAGTTTGAGGGCCATTTGGCACCATCTACCAACATGGGGAACACCCTTTCCCGATTCCCGTGGATTCCCCAACTTCACTTCCAGGGCCACATCCCACCCACACAGACACAGGGTTTGCTGGAGCTTTGTTCAGAGCAGCAGCCTGGGTCGTCCTAAAATGGCCCAGTCCCCAAGAGGTATGCAGCAAAAGCAGGAGGTGAGCACTTTGGATGCCAGCAGTGGTGTGAACCACATAAGAAGCTGAAGATGTGCCCTAGATGAGGAAATGTGGGAAGGTAGGTCCCATGCCCAGTATAGAGCCCGACATTGGGCTCGATCTCACAGCCCTGAGATGAAGACCTGAACTGAGATCAAGAGTCAGACACTCAACCAACAGCCTCCTAGGCGCCCCTCTTCCTTTTCTTTTCTAAATGATTTGTATGTGTGTCATCTATTCAAAACAGAGAAAGGACTCGAAGCTGCTCTGGTCTCCCACATGTCCAAAGGACCGTGTAAAGGCCGACCAGAAGGCCAAGGAAGTCATAGAGTCCCAGCAGCTGGAGGTCCCATGAATGGGAGAGCCGTCCCCTGCTTCTTTCTGTACCACCTGAATGGGGCCTGGCCCTGCGTCTGGCAGCTGGGAGCACCAAGACGCTCCTGGGGTGGAGGGTGTGTGTGTGCCCTTCTCTGCCCTCCTATGTTCAATCACGAAGGTCTCTTGTGTCACGACCTCAGAAGTTGCCTTCTCTTGGCCCTCAGTGCCCCAACCCCCCACAGGGCAGAGAGGCCTTGCCCTGTCCTTCCCTCTCTGCTGACCCCGGGAGCAAAGGGACACAATCAAAGTTATCGTGGGGGCAGCCCCGGTGGCCCAGCGGTTTAGCAACGCCTGCAGCCCAGGGTGTGATCCTGGAGACCCTGGATCGGGTCCCACATCAGGCTCTCTGAATGGTGCCTGCTTCTCCCTCTGCCTGTGTCTCTGCCTCTCTCTCTCTGTGTGTGTGTCTCTATGAATAAAAAAAATAAAAAAAAAAAAGCAAAGTTATCGTTATCGTGGGTAAAAGGAAGGGATGCATTCTCTGTTCTGGTCCCGAAATCAAGTCCTGAGGACACAGCCCCTGGAGGTGCAGGTCCCGAGAACTACCTGCAGAGGGCACCACACACAGCTTCTGGCCGCCAGAGCCAGGCTGGCCCTCCCGCTGGGACAGTTTATTTCCAAGCGGTTTTTTGTTTTTGTTTTTGTTTTGTTTTGTTTTGTTTTACTGCCTTCTAAGCCTTCTCACATCTAAAAATAGAATTTCCCCAGACTGCTGCGGTCCCCGGCTCCGGCTCCGGTGGCCAGATGGTCAATGTTATGGCTCGTCGCGTAGGGGCAGAGCAAAGCGGCCTCTGTGGAGGGGGCCCAGGTGGCACGGCCTCAGAAGGATGCAGCCGAGGGCCCTGCAGCCACACTGCTTGAGTTCAATGTGGCTTTGGACACTGCCCTCAGCTTCCTCAGCCCTCAATTTTCTCTGTAAAATGGGGAATGGGATTCCTGCCAGCATTGCTTAGCATCTGCAAGGTGGTGCAAATAAATGTATATGAGGCAGGTAGGCCTGGGGGGCTGATGCTGCTGCTCCTCCCCAAGTGTCCCCACTCCTCCACTGCTCAGCCAGGGGGGGTTGTCTGCAGGAAGGAGGGAGGCAAGGTCCCTCCTTCCAGCTCCCTCCCCACAACCCTGGTTCCTTCCATCCCCCCAAAGAGATGTCCCCTCGGAACCTGCAACTGTGACCTTATTTGGAAAGAAGAAAGTTTGTGTAATTAAGTTGACCTCAAGAAGAGGTCATCTGGATACGGGTGGGCCCTAAATTCAGTGACAGGCGCCCCTATAACAGGAGAAAGGATGGTCGCGCAGTGAGGCCGCATGAGGACCATGAGGATGGAGGCAGGGACTGCGGGGAGGCTGCCTCAGAGCGCCAGCAGCGGGAAGGGGCAAGGAAGGAGCCTCCCCTCGAGCCTGGGAGGGAGCATAGCACTGCCGGCCCCTCGAGTATCAGCCTTCCAGCCTCCAGAACAGCGAGAGAGGACATGTGTGCCCCAGTTTCAGAGCAGCCACAGGACACTAACACAGCCGGCCCAGGAAGGGACCCACATTGTGCTCTTCCCACCCAACCAGGTCTGTGCCCCCAGATCAGAGCCATGGAGGCCTCCAGAGAGCCCCTGGAGGTCGGTGCGGTTATCATCGTTGCAGGTGGGGACTGTTAGGCACAGGTGTTCCAGAAGCTTCTCCGGGTCACCCAGGGAGGTGGGCTGGAATCCAGGTGCTGGCAGTCTGGCACAGCGCCCTGCTGCCAACATGCCCAGAGCACTTAACCTGGACCCCGGGGGCCCGTGGAGAGTCTGGGGGCTTCATGGACGTGGATGAGAAAAACACATCGTTAACCCCACCGATGGCCCCTGAGATTTAGCCTTTGCTTCCGCTGCACGTGGAGGCTGAAGCCCCACGTGGTATGAGCAGGAGTGTGGCTTTGTCCATTGAGGAACCCGGGGTATCTCTGCACCCCGCGCCGTGGCTTCAGCAGCCTGCGCCGCCTCTGAGCTTAGCCGTCGTCTGGACCCACTGTCCGCATCCAGCCCGCCGCTCCGCCTGGCCATCGGCCGCGTTGCTGGAGGCGCACAGATTCGTTCTGATTTGTGCAACACCGCGGTAATATTTTGATTTAATGTGTGATTTCATTTAGTATTTCCAGATGCTATCGTGAAGAGTGTCTCGACATCATTGGCATCTCTGTAACCCTATGTGCTTTGTTTGATGCGCTTTAAAATGCTTCGCAGCCTGGCTCCCCGGTGCTGAGTCGTCCCAGAGCCCGAGCGGCTTGCCATGCTTGACGCCTCCACCCCTGTCCGGACCTGAGGGCCCTTCCGTTGCCCCCCAGCCCGCGCCATTGCACTGCCCCTCGAGGACGATCCAGGCCCTTGTCAACAGCCCAGACAGCCTCGCGGGGTCCCTTCTGCCTTTGCCAGCGTCCACCCTCCAGTGGCCCCGGGGGATCTCCCTGCAGCCTAGTCCCCACCCTCTGGGACCCTGGCTGCCCTGACTCCAGGAACGCAGCAGTGTCCCCAGCCTGGCAGATAGGACCCTCTGTCATCGAGCGTCTGATCCTCCCCCAGGGCCCTGGGTGCTCCTCTGTTCCCTCCACCCCTGAGCCCGGTGCCCACCTGCCTTTCCCTAGAAGCCGGGCAGCCCCTGGCCATGCCGTCTGCTCAAGGAGAGGGGACATTCCCTCCACCTTGCTGAGCCCTCCGAGAGTACCCCTGAGCTAGCAGCAGGACCCCGTATGTTGATGTTCCAAGCTCCCCACTCTGCACCACACCGGGCCAGCTGACAGGAAAATCGAGGGGCTCTCGCCCTCAGTGCCAGTGGCAGATGCCAACCCTGCATGTCCCCCTGCACATGGGAACTGTCACCTGGCCACCCCTGCCCACAACAAAACCCCAGGCAGGGCTCCTTCATCATGCCAGCTGTCCGGCTTGCTCCCTTGAATGCCTCACTATGTGGACCGAGAGACTTCTATACCCTCTTGGCCAGTGGGTGGTATCATCAATCTCAACATCCAAAGCAGCCACACTTTTGGGTGGGGGTCCCTCCTGCCTCTGCGGTCCCTCCCACCAGGCTGGGAGCCTCTGATGCAGAGATGAAGTGTCATTCTCCTCGGATTTCCCTTCTAGCAGAGATCCTCTTCACGGCACAGCAACTTTACTACTGAGCATCTGTACAGCATTGCTGTTCCCTCTGCCTGGAATACTCTCCCTCCACTTTGTCTCTTAAACACACGTTTTTCTTTTTAAATGAGCAGTTGCCATGTGCTTGGTGGGCACTCATTGATCCTGATGACCGTTCTCTTGTAATCTTCACAATGACTCCGTGAAGATGTATGACCTCATTCTCACAGAACCAAGGCTCAGAGAGGTTAAGTAACTTGCTCAAGGCCCCACAGTTGGTGAGGGATGCAACTGGGGTCTGGCTCCACGGCCTCCAGCATCGCTCTAGTCCGCCTTGAAAGCCCCTCCTCAGAGAAGACTGCCTGCCTTGCCCCTATAGCACCCCTGGCGGGTGACGTTGCCACCATGCACGGAGATGAATTCATTGTTGCCTGAGTCTTATCTATTGTCTGTCTCTCCCATTCGACTGTGACTTCTATGGGGTTAGGGACAGGATCTGCCTTGCTCTTGCCAACTCACCCATGCATAGCAAAGCCTCACAGCGATGTGTCAAACGAAGGAATGATGATCTGGAAAGACTGCACAAGAGATGTAGAGAAGACTGGAGGTGGGGCCTGGCAGGGATGGGGACTTAGCCGGGGGATGGCAGGCTTGGGGGAGCTCCCAGAGAGATGGGATCACATTGGCTCCACCGCTGGCTGCAGCCAGAGGCAGCCTGGCCACATAGCATCCTCCAGTCCATGCTCTCAGACAGGTGCACACCTGGCCTTCCCCGTGTGTGGCCCTGCTACTTCCTGCTCATCATCCCCCAAGCCCAGCTCCGGCCCCACCAGCACACCCACATGTCAGAGGAGACCAGAACGGACCCAAACCTCAGGCCTCCGGTCATTAAGGCCACAGCAAGACGGTCATTAAGCCACCGAGTCCCTGCGAGGGCATGTGGTCTCCTCGGCTCTGCCATGGTATGAATGGGACAGCTAACGCTGCAGGCTCGGGCATGACCTGTCATGTTGACCCCACTGGCTCCCCACCATGCTCTCACACACCCTCATCGCACATCCTGAGGAATCTATCCCTGGAGCCAAGATGAGGCTCCCAGATTCTACCCAGTGCCCTCCAGGGATGAGGCTTGGCGGAGAGTCACAAACAAGAATAGCTAATCATGTCCCACGGGCGGCAGATGACGCTCAGGAAGTGACAGTCCCATGAATGCCACTCTGGGATTTTTGATCTTGCAAGGTGGATACACTTTGGCACCCACAGACCTGGCCTGAATCCCAGCTCAGCATTGCTCATGCACTCATTGTACGAATCTCAGAAATCACTCTGAATTTTGAGGCTCAGTTTCTCGATCTGCAAAATGGGCAGAATTGATCTGAAGGGGACCTTAATGCATCAAAGATGGGAAAGGTCTAGGTTTTTGGCTGAAAGAATCCAAAGACATCGCCAAGTGTAGGTTGGACATACAGGTCACCAGATGTTGGAGGAGCAGGTCTGCCCCCACCCCCAGCCCTACTTCCTGATTCTGTACATCACTCCCTCTTGTATCCATGCCCTTCTGCATGTTAATCTGCAGTTCTCAGGAGAGAGAGGCTGTGCTAGATTAAAATCAGCCACAAACTCACCATGGCTACAAGTTCTCTATATCTCCTCCCACCAAAAGGTAGCCTCTGTTTTCCCACCCTTGAATCTGATTGGCTTTGCGATTCAGCAGTGAGGATGTAGTGCATGTCCCAGCCTAGTGACAGCAAGCTTTGTGTTTCTGCCTCTTACACTTCTGCCATCATGAGAGGGACATGCCTTGTCAGTCTGCTGGTCCCAGGAATAGGATAAGAGACACATGGTGCAGAGCCACCTCTAGCTGAGCCAGCTGAACCCAGCTGACCCCAGCCCAAACCCAGACACATGAGAATTATAAGCCACTGATTTTTGGGACTGTTTGTTACACAGCAACCACCTACTGACAAGAGAACAGAAAGGAGTAAAAGACCACAATCTAACCAAGTAGAATTTGGGGATGGGCAACCTCCATTATCAGGGCACATGATACCTGCCCTCCCTTTGGTATCTTGGCACTAGGATCTGGAGCCATGGAAATGAAGTGAAGAAAGTCACAACAGAGGAAAGAAACCAGTCATAGCTCCAGGAGCTTCGGGCTTCTTGTCTCTCCACTGATAGACTGAGAGCTCTGTAACTAAGTCAAGTGTTTATTGATCTACGTGGCATTCCTGTCCCATCCTTTCTGACACCACAGAGCAGGGTAGGTAAGCTAAGAGGTGTTTTCTGGGAGGATAATTAGACACTTTCAATGCTCCGCACTTAGTAGATGCCCAGTTCAAGGGACCCTTCTCATTACCTCCCAAGTGGCCAATCCCCACTATCAATCATTTTGTAATACTTCTTTCCTTCTCATTCTTAGGAAGTCCCCATTGTCTTTAAATGGAATCAGAGATCTTGCTCATGAGGTTAGCTCTGCTGGTTATTTTCAGATCTGTGTTTTCAGAACTCATTTAGCCTCTGTTATAAGCTCTCAATGATCAGACCGTTTTTTCCTCCTGCTTCCTTTGGGCCCACAAATGTCTAGATATTTTGCTTAAAATTTTTTTCTATCCTGAAATGACCCTCCCCTGCCTTCTGGCCATTTGCCTGGACTCTGGACTTCCTGCTTTGCAGACCATTGTTATTTATGCCTGACACTCCGCATTCCACCTGCTGGGATCCTCAGACACTATGCCAGCTGACCTGGGGGGAGGGAGGGAGCTTACCTGCCTCCGAGCCTCTGTGCTCTGTTCCCTGGTACCTTCCCAAGTTGTCTGACCTGGTTTCAGCTTCCCCAGCTCGCTGTCTCCTGAGCTCTGGTGGGAGGTTCACGTGGCTCCTGAACTTGTTCTCACAGAAATATGTGCATTGCTTGGGATGACGTCCGCAGATGGAGGCACAGCTGATGCAGTTCCTCAGGAGCTGGTCATAGTAGCTGCCTTCCTCCTTGCGGCAACTGAGTGACTCTAGGAGACAGAAATAAGTGATGCTATTGGGGAAGACCTGCAGGCCCTGTGAAGTTGGCCTTCAAGGGCATCACAGTTTACAAAAATTATGATTCAATTCCCCAAAAGCAATTCCAGAGTAGTGCAACTCCTTACCCAATATGTAAATGGAAGGCTATACATTGTCCTCTAAGTTTTATTTTAGCTGCAATATATACATTTTTTTTAAAAAGATATTATTTATTTATTCATGAGACACACAGAGAGAGGCAGAGACACAGGCAAAGGGAGAAGCAGGCTCCATGCAGGGAGCCCGATGTGGGACTCGATCCCTGGACCCTGGGATCACACCCTGAGTCAAAGGCAGATGCTCAACCACTGAGCCACCAGGCATCTCTGCAGTATATAATTTGACACGTAGTATTTTTCCTGTATCTACTTTCAATGTTTTCAGTTTTCATTATTACTTTGTCTCCAAACTATGGATTACTTGAAAGTGCATTTCTTAGTTTCTAAGCATATAAGAATTTTCCAGTTATCTTTCAAAATTGAAATCTAGGTTATTACATTAAGTTCTTCATTTTCATTAAGTTCTTCATTGCACTTTTCAAACTTCATAAAGGAGAAACATATTTCTTATTAACATAAGGATTGGAAGAGGAAGCTAGAAACCACCTCGGCAGGTTGAGGGAGGAGGCTGGAAAGAAAATGGGAAAGCTCAAATTAATAGTGTTTCTTCTGTATTTTTTAAGCCTTTTTATTGATTTATTTGAAAAAGAGAGCAAGATCAAGCGCAGGTGGAAGGGGCAGAGAGAGAGGGAGAAGCAGAGGTGCCTTGCTGAACAGGGAGCCCCATGCAGGGCTCAATCCCAGGACCCGGGGATCACAACCTGAGCTGAAGGCAGATGCTTTACTGACTGAGCTACCCGGGCACTCATGTTTCTTCTGTCTTAATGAATGAGAATTATAAGAACCCAAACAGCCATCAGTGCCAAAATGCAGAAGCCAAGCAAACTAAAGAAATCAATCACGCTTGCTTTAAAAGAGCAATTTTGAGTGCAAAACAGAACTCTATACTTTCACAGGGCAGGTTTCCCTTATCTTTTTTTTTTTTAAGATTTATTTATTTATTTATGATAGAGAGAGAGAGAGAAAGAGAGAGAGAGGCAGAGACACAGGCAGAGGGAGAAGCAGGCTCCATGCCAGGAGCCTGACCTGGGACTCGATCACGGGACTCCAGGATCACGCCCCAGGCCAAAAGGCAGGCGCTAAACCGCTGAGCCACCCAGGGACCCCCTCCTTTATCTTTAAGCTAAGATTCTATTTATATGAAAATGTGACTCAGGAGATTTTAAGGGCACATTTCAGAGGTAGTGAAAGATAGCGGGTAAGAACACAGGCTTCAAGGCCAATCAGATTTGAGAGCATCCTTAGTCTACCACTTGCAGGTTGTAGAGTTTCCATGCCTCAGTTTCCTCATTTCCAAGACGGAGCTAATAATGATATTGACTTCTTAAAGTTGCCATGAGGATTTGAGGTTCCTGGCATAATGCCTGATGCATAATAAATAAATGCCAGGTTAATGGAAAGTTTAAGTAAATATTCATTTGTGCCTTTTTGCAACACAAACACACCAACTCTTACGTCCTTGAAAGAGTAAAGGAAAAGACCAGGAAGATGGTGAAACTGGGACCTGAGGGAAGACTCAGATGGGATCAGTGACCTCTTCTTGCCCTGGCTCTGCCCGAGGATTCCACTAAGCCAGAAGTGCCACTCATGAGACGGAGTTGACAGGACGGCAGTGGTGTTCCTAGGGTTTTATGTATGACCTCCTCCCCAACTCAGGCCCCCATTGTGGCTGTTGCAGGTGGTGTCTGAGCTTCCTAGACCCACCAACTCTAGCTACCCAACCTCAAAAACTTCCCCTCTGGGCCTTGGCACTCCCTACTGTGTTTTTCTACGTCCATGCCTTCATCCACATGGGTCCTCCTTCCAGAGTATCCTCCCCCTCACCTCCCACCATCTGACTGCCACATCTGCAAACTCTTAACAATTTATCTCAGGTGACATTTACTCCAGGAACACTTCCCTGTTCCCTAACCCATTAGCCATAGGTGGTCTCTCCCAATTGTAGCATTTTATGGCACTTTATCCTTCTCTGTTGAAATGTATTTATTTCTTCCATTAGACGATGACCCCCTTGAAGGATCATGTCAGTTTCCCATTTTCAAGGGGCTGGAGAGTTCCATGAATATTTGTGGAGTGATACAACAAGTATTCCACTTCATTAATGGATAGTGGTTCGGAGTCACGGTTTTGAAGTCAGAGAATCCTGGTTTAAATCCACTGTTTCGCTGTGTGAGCTTGGGTAAGTCACTCAGCCTCTCTGAGCTCCACTCAATCAGTATTGATGAATCACTCACTATGTGTCAGGCATTGTGCAAGATTCAAACAAGGAAAGGAACTTGCGGTCCAAAGGGTCAAGACAGACATGAAACAAACGCACACAAAAGAATGTTATGCAAATCATGGGAAGTTCCATCAAGGAAAAGAATAAGTTATGAGAAAAGAACAGTAGACAAAATATCTTTTTCAAGACAATCAGAGAAAATTGGATATAGCCTGAATACAGAGGGTGTTAAGGAATTATTGCTGGGGATGATAAGAGATAAAGGTTGTATTTTGAAGGCTCTTATGTGTTAAAGATTCATGATCTAGTATTTACAGGTAAAATTATATGAATTCTTGGATTTACTTTACAATATACAAGCAAAAAAATGGTTGGAGAATAAAACAGCAGATTTTTAAAGCTGATGATGGGCAGAAAGGGATTTATTATGCTATCCTTTCTGCAATAATTCCTTTAATAAAAAATTTCAAAAGAAAGTCAGAACAGAGGAAAACAAAGGAGGGTCTCATTTCTATTGGACAGGTAGGTAAGACTTCTGACATTTGGCCTCAGACCTGAAGGTTGAGTAAGAGGGAGCTGAGGGAAGAATAACAGGGAAATGCATTCCAAGCATAGGGTACAACATGTGCAAAGGCCCTGAGGCAGAAAAAAACCCCCACAGCATGTTCAAGAAACTGCAAGGAGACTAGTGTAGCCAGAGCAGAAAGATTGAGGGGTAAAGAGGTGCCATGTTCTACATCTCCTTCTACCATCTCCTTCTCAGCCACCCAAGCGCAATAGGGCCTGGGGGACCTCTAGAGGGAAGGAAGGGGTGATCCAGCCCATGGGGCTCAGGCCCCAGAACTCACTGCAGAATGCTGCACAGGTGCGAGGAATCTGATGGCTGCAGATGGGTTTGCAAGAGAGGCACATGTTCAGCAGGGGATCCCAGTACTGTTCTTCAGGGCAGGGCTCCATGGCCATCCCCATCCGCAGGCCCTGTGGAGCTGAGAGGCAGGGAGCATGAGGGCAGCTGGCACCCTGCTACGGGTCAGAACACAGATAGCCTCTCCCACTCACATTCTACTTTGTCTCAGCAAGCAGAGGAGGAACCGGACAAAGCTAGCTTCCAACCCCAGCTGCATCTGCTGGGGGCCTGGGGCAGCCACCTCACTCCCTCGAGCCTCAGTTTCCGTATTTGTGAAATGGCTGTACGAGGCTCCCTCTCTCAGATTACCTGTGCCCTGCTCAGCCCTGTTCTTTGCCTACTGTGGTTCTTTCTACCACAGTACCTTTGCATAAAATGCTCTTCTTCCTTGCCCTTCTGCTGGCTAATTTCTCCTGATCCTTTAGATCACTGTTTCAATTTCATTTCCTCAGAAAAGCCTGATTCTCTTTCCCAGATTAAGACACACCACTTCTTCTGTGCAGTGATGTGTCCTTCACTTGTCACCGCTTTCACTTCACTTTTATAACTGTGACTATTGGATGCTGTCTCCCCCATTAACTGTGAGCATCATGTAGGCAAGGACTCTAATTTTTTTGTTCACTGCTGGGTCCTCAGAACCTAGATAGTGCCCAGGACATAGTAGGTGCTCATTAAGTGAAGAAAAAGAAAAGCATATCTAGCCAGTGGCTAGCGTACAGCAAGCATTCAATAAATGTCCTTTTCTTCCATTTTTTCTTTTTTACTGAAGTACGAGACACACTCAATGATGTGTGTAAAGTGCACAAATCTGAAGTATGCAGCTTGATGTATTTTTCCATATGTATACACTTGTGTCACTACAGCCCACATCAAGGTATAAGGTATAGATATTTCTTGCACCCTGAAGACTCCCTTGGGTCTCCTCCCCATCCAATACTTCCAGAGGTAACTTGTACTCTGATTTTTATCACTGTCGGTTGTTACTACTGCCCATTCTTGAACCTTTGTGTCCTGTTTTGTTGGCGCCACAAGATATCTGAGACACATCTCAGTTGAGGCTCCATCAGTCATTTGTTTCGTATGCTAAGTCTTCCTTTATATGAATGCATCACTTTTTCTATAATTTTCTGCCTGATTTCATGAAACTTGCTTCACCAAAATGTTTCCTTTTTTTTTTTAAAGTTTAACTTCATGTGACGGGAGTTTTTAATTTTTCAATTTTTAAAAATATTTTATTTATTTATTTATTTATTTATTTATTTATTTATTTATTTATTCATGAGAGACACAGAGAGAGATTGAGAGGCACAGACACAGGCAGAGGGAGAAGCAGGCTCCATACAGGGAGCCCAACGTGGGACTAGATCCTGGGTCTCTAAGATCACACCCTGGGCTGAAGTCGGCGCTAAACCGCTGAGTCACCCAGGCTGCCCAGTTTTTCAATATTTTAATGGATTTATTTATTTATTTGAGAGAGAGAGCAAGTGAGCAAGAGAACACAAGTGGGGGAGAGGGAGAAGCAGACCCCCCGCTGATCAGGGAGGACAAAGAGCTGGATATCAGGACCCTGAGATTGTACCCTGAACTGAAGGCAGATGCTTAATTGACTAAGCCACCCAGGCATCCCCCCAAATGTCTCTTTTTAAACATTTTGCAAGGTGCTTGCTTACTCTTCATTGAAAGTAAGCTGAGAGAAGACCAGTGGCTCCTGGTTTAATGTAGCAGTTTAACACATGGACTTATCTTTCTTCCCTCCTGAAACCCTACTAAAAGGAGAAGAAAAGATACCTGTCCTCAAAGAGAAAAAGAATGGAAAAAAGTTACTGCAGCAGGGGACAGGTGTGAGCAATACTTTGGAATATGGAAGGCATGTGACCTGGGATGACTGACTTTGGTTAAAGGTCTCAGGGACAAGGAAGCTGATTTGAGCCACAGAACTCCAGGAAGTCTCTGGAATTGGAGGTACCAAGTATCAATGACAGTGGGGAATGGCAAAGCAAAACAATGGAAGAAAGACTGGTTGGAAATTTATACAAAGAGGGCCTGACCCCAGGTAAATCCCATCCCAAGCATGTAATGGCCTCTGGACACCCAAGCAAAAGATTGGGGGTCTTCTGAGACACCGCTGAGGGTAGCCATAAGGTCCACTCTCCCCAAAACACAACCTGAGGAGTGCTGTGGCCAGGTTTTTAAGAATGTCTCCTTCCCCATCCTGCAGCCAGCAGGAAATCAGCAGATTCTGAGAAAAGAAAATGATCAGGTTTGCTCCTTGACCATCTGAGAGCAAAGCTTCTTTATTAACAGCCCTGTTTGTTTACCCAGAACCTCCAATCAGCTCTTTCTGCCTCAATCTGAGTTGTGAATCAAGAGCCACCTGATCTGAAAGAGAACTCAAACAAAGCAAGCAGAAAGAACATACTGGGAGCCAAGAGAGACAATAGGGAGAGAAAAGACATGAAAATTATGGAATTATTTCAAGAGGTCCAAAGGTTGACTAATGGGAATTCTAGAAAAAACAGATTTCAAAGACATAGCTTCCAGATTCAAAGAGCCAGTCAGATGTCTGATATAATAAAATCTCACAAGCCATGACCCATCATCATAGAATTTAGAGGAACCAGAGATTAAGAGCAGATTCTAAAATCTTTTTTGACAATAAGCAGGTTATCCACAGAGTTTTGTGAGGACGTCAATGGACATCTCAAATCAAAACTGGGATGTGAGAGCAATGTCCAGGAAGATGGTAGAGTAGAAGCTCTAGTAATCTGCTTTTCCACCTAACAGCTATCAAGCTGGCAGCAACCATCTTGAAGTAACTGTTTTGGAACTCTGAACTTATCCAGGAAAGAGCTGGATGAAGAGACTGGTGAATTTTTGAAATTTTGGTGTATTTCAGCCTATTTCATGGTGGTGGCTACCATTCCTCACGTATGCAGCGGCGGGGTGGGGGGGCGGGGTGGGGGCAGAGTTGCTCATATTGCTGGTCCCCTAGATGGGCAATAAGGACCTTGTTCTACAAATATTGAGATTGTAGATTCTGACTGCTGTTTTCTGCTTTTAGATCAGTGAGGGGCTAGCACACAGGTTGGTGGCCATTGTTTCAACTGCCCACAGCTGAAGTGACTTCCAGGGGACTTAAAGGGGCAGCACTCTCCTCCACTCTTGGGAGCCAGACTTTTAAGGAAGTCTTTTTCAGGTCACTGGCTGAGTGCAGAGATAAAGGAACAGAAACTTCAGTGAACACACAGAATAAATACCTACTTTGCAAAAATGGTTTGGAAAAGCCACACATGGACTGCAACAACCAACAAGCAAGATACAGAAATCCCTGAGGAATGGGAAAATTAGAATTACTACAACATGATGCTCAAAATGTTCAGTTCTCAAAAACCTTACAAAATATATTAAAAAAAAACAGAAAAATATGTATCACACATTCACAGAAAAAAAGAATTTGACAGAAATTATTCGTGAGAGAGTCTAGACATTGGAAACATTAGTCAAAAATGTTAAATTAACTGTCTTAAATATGTTCCATGAGCTAAAGAAAATCATGGACAAAGAACTAAAGGAAATCAGAAAAACAAAGCATGAATGATGTATAAGAATATGAATAAAGAGATAGAGGTTGTAGAAAAAAAAAAGAAACCAAAACTTGGAAGAAAGTTGGTAAATGGATAAATAAACTATAGTACATCCAAACAGCAGAATTTACTCATCACTAAAAAGAAATGAGTTATCAGCCATGAAAACACATGGAAGAATCTTAAATGCATATTAGTAGCTAAAAGAAGCCAAGCCAAAAAGGCTACTGTGTGATTCTAGTTATATGATATTCTAGAAAAGGCAGACCTACAGAAACAGTAGAAAGATGAGTGATTGTCGGGGGTTTGGGGTGGGAGAGATAAAGGAGGAGTACAGGGGACTTTATATAGCACTGAAAGTATTCTGTTTGATACTACCATGGTGGATACATATACTTATTTGTGAAATACTATAGAATACACAATACTAAAAGTAAACGTTAGTACAAACTTATGGACTTTGTGTGATAATGATGCATTACTGTAGATTCATCAGTGGTAACAAATGTACCACTTTAGTACAGGATGTTGATAGTATAGGAGGTTGTGCATGTTTGGAGGTATGAGGTATAAATTTTCTGTATTTCCCACTCAATTTTTCTGTGAACCCAAAACTGCTCTAAAAAATAGTCTATTCAGAAATAGAAACAAACACAAATTCTGGAATTGTAAAGTCCAATAACTGAAAGGAAAAAAAAAAACTTACTAAAGGGGTTCAATGGCAGATTTGAGAAGGCAGAAGAAAGGATCAGTGAACCTGAAGATGAAACAATTGAATTATGTTATCGGAGATGCAGAAATTTTTAAAAATGGGATCCCTGGGTGGCTCAGCGGTTTAGCGCCTGCATTTGGCCCAGGGCATGATCCTGGAGTCCTGAGATCGAGTCCTGTGTCCGGCTCCCGGCATGGAGCCTGCTTCTCCCTCTGCCTTTGTCTCTGCCTCTCTCTGTCTCTCTGTCTATCATGAATAAATAAATCAATAAATAAATCTTTAAAAAAAAGAAATTTTTAAAAATGAGGAAAAGTGAACAGAACCTAAGGAACTTGTGGGGCCCCATCAAACATGCCGCCATAAATGTAGAGAGAGTGAGAGAGAGGGAATAAACAATATTTGAAGAAATAATGGCTGAGAATTTTTCAAATCTTAGGAAAGAACATGAATGTATACATTCCAAAATCTCAGTGAACTCTCAAAGTCTCTAAATTCAAAGAGCCCACACTGAGACACATTGTAATCAAAACGTGGTAACCCAAAGACAGAGAGAAAATTGTAAAACCTACAACAGAGCACAGCTTGTCACACACAGGTGATCTTCAATTAAATTAATAGCTACTTACTCCTCAGAAACCATGAGACCAGGTGGCAGTGGGATGATATATTTAAACTCCTGAAAGGAAAAATTTGCCAACCAAAAAGTATATATCCAGCAAACTATCCTTCAAGAATGAAGGAGAAATTAAGATATTTCCATATAAACAGAAGCTGAGGGAGTTC